TGTGCACACAGTGGTGTGTGAGCAGGGTGTGTGCACACAGCGGTGTCAGCATGTCAGTGTGAGCAGGGCGTGTGCACACAGCAGTGTCAGTGTGTGAGTGTGGGCAGGGCATGTGCACACAGTGGTGTGTGAGCAGGGTGTGTGCACACAGCAGTGTCAGCATGAGTGTGAGCAGGGCGTGTGCACACAGCAGTGTCAGCATGAGTGTGAGTGTGCACTCAGTGTGAGTGTGCCTGTCAGGGTGAGCAGGAGTGTGCAGTCAGTGTGTGCACATAGTGGAAGTCCGAGGGGGGACGGGGAGCTCTGCCCCCCGCTGGTTCGCTCCACAGTGGCCGCAGGGCCAGGGCTGGGCCAGGAGAAGCCGGCGCCCGGGCGCTCCCGAGTCCCCCCGCCGGGAGCCGGGGCCCAAGCCCTTGCTCATCTCCCGCTGGTCTCCCAGGCCATCAGAGCAGCTGGATGGGAAGCGGAGCAGCCGGGACGGGGACGTGGACCCGGGCCCTGGGGGATGCCGGTGTTGCAGGCCGTGCCCCCCCCCCCCCGTGCTGGCCCCCAGGCACGGGGACGAGCTTCCCGGGCGGCAGCGCGCACAGGCAGTGGGCTCTCCGGCGTCAGCCGATCCCTCTGGGCTGGGAGCAGCGCTGTCCACAGCACTCACCGCTGGGTGCCAGGTCGTGCCTGCACAGGGCGGTGCCCAGCCAAGGTTTGCTGAGTGAGCCAGCGACACCTGCGGTTCAGCCACTCCCTGGCCGCCTTCCACCAAGCGTACAGAAGCCCCCGCGAAGCCTCGCCCCTCCCCGTGTCCCTCCTCCATGCTGGTCTGGGGCCACTCTGCCCTGCAGGCTGTGTGACCTCGGGCGAGTCTCGCTCCCTCTCTGAGTCTCTCTCTCTGCCGGGGACTAGCAGGGCCCTCGTGCCCCACGGAGGGCTCTCTGGACAGGGGCGGGGGAGGCGGGCGACCACTTACCTGCTGACCCTCTTCTTCAGCTGCCTATGCGCCTGGGGAAGCAGCGAGGACGGCCCCACCCACAGTGCAGACCCAAGTGGAGTTCCAGGCCCCCGCCAGCGTGGGCATCTGGGGAGCGACCCAGCAGACGGAAGGTCCTCTCTCTCTCTCTCTCTCTCTCTCTCTCTCTCTCTTCTGCTCTCTCTGTACCTCTCTGCCTTTCAAATAAATAAATAAATCTTAAAAAAGAAGAGGGGCCGGTGCTGTGGCGTAGCAGGTAAAGCCGCCACCTGCAGCACTGCACCCCATGTGGGCGCCGGTTCGAGTCCCGGCTGCTCCACTTCCGATCCAGCTCCCTGCTGATGCACCTGGGAAGCAGCTCATGTGTGCACAGGCTCTCGCTCATACTCACACTCACACGGGCTCACTCACATGCACACGCTTTGCTGACTCAGAGGCTCACTCTTACACGCACACACTCACACACACAGAAACACACACACGTGCTCACACACGCTCACATTCACAGGTGCACATGTGCATGTTCACGCTCACATGCTCAGTCACGTATGATTCTAATGCTGTCTCATACACTGACACTCATGCACAGGGTCGTGCAACACTCATGCTGACACGCACACACACACGCTAACACATGCGCTCCATCCACACATGCTGGCTCATGCACACACGACCACACACGAGTCTACGCTCATGTTCACATGTGCACTCACACTCGCTTCACACTCATACTCACACTCATGTGTACTCACTTGTTCAAGCACTCACACATGCAACACACGTGCAGTGTTCATGTTCACACATGTAACACGTGTGCAGTGTTCGCACACGTAACATCTTAACACACATCCTCCCACACACTCCTCACGCTCACACACCTGTACCCACACACATGCGGACACTCACACGTGTACTCACACGTGCCTGAGTGTGTTCCCACCCCCCACTCCTGGGTGCCAGTCAGGGACAGGGCGACACTGGCCCGCGCTGGGGAGGGCAGGGCTGTGCCTCAGCCCAGGCTGGCGCTGGAGGCAGAGCCTGAGAGCTGCAAGGTGGGGGAGCACGCGCACACACACACACAGACGTGCACACTCACAGACGCGCACACACTCAGACATGCACACACATGCACTCACAGATGTGCACACACTCAGACGTACACACACTCACAGACGTGCACACACTCACAGATGTGCACACACGCTCACAGACATGCACACACACTCAGACGTGCACACACACTCAAGACGTGCACACACACTCACGGACGTGCACGCACACTCACAGATGTGCACACACGCACTCACAGACGTACACACTCACAGATGTGCACACACGCACTCACAGCCGTGCACACACACAGCCGTGCACACACATGCACTCAGATGTGCACACTCACAGAGGTGCACACAATGTGCACACACACTCACAGACGTGCACACACATGCACACATGCAAATGCACACCTGCACTCAGATGCATGCACACACCCCGCCTCTGGCCTGGCCGTGCATCCCCCCAGGCGTGCCTGGCCCCACCGTCCGTTTCCTCAGCGCCGTTTGTGAGAGCGGCCCTCTGTGGAGGTGAGTGTGCCGGGCAGCTGGCCAGGGCTCAGCCGGGCTCCCTCTGGCACCCCGGGGTGGGTGTTGTCGCGTCCCCACTGCACTCAAGAGGCCGCGCACACTCGAGCCAAGTGGCCGTGGTCAGGATCGCGTGGCCGGCAGCGGCAGGGCTGGGCTCAGCTGCTCCACCTCTGCTCGCGGCTCTGGAAGCCCCCGGCCCTCACTGCACTCCCGGGAGACGTGGCGTCCGTCCACCTGCCCAGCCTGTGCCCGCTGCTCACGCCCACGCGTGCACCACCAGAGGCGGCCCGGCCACACCCCAGGACGGGGAGGGAAGGGTCCGGGGGCTCTGGCTGCACCAGGACCTCCCGGAGCTCCTCCAAGAACTCAGGCGAGGACCTGGGCCAGGGGAGGACGGGGGGGCCAAGTCCTTGGGCCCCTGCACCCCGGGAGACCCAGGTGGAGTTCTGGCTCCCGGCTTCAGAGGGGCCCAGCCCCAGCCGCGTATACATCTGGGGAGCGAACCAGCAGACGATGATCTCTGTCCCTCCCTCTTGCTCTGTCACTCTACGTTTCAAACAAATAAAATAAATCTTCAAAAACATAACAAATAAAATATCAAGGACAAGAAAACCATCCGAACAGACAAACAACAGACGCAATCTAAAGAATCCTCAAGACAACAGGAATAATTTAAATAAGTCGTGGCACACACACTGGACAGCTGCAAAGTAACCGTAAACTGCTCATCGCATAGACAGAGTCCACAGTCCATTTCTGAGGCTTAGGCCATGAGAACTAATTTTAACCTTATTGTTTTAAGATGTGCTTATTTACTTGAAAAGCAGAGGACAGAGGGAGAGGGAGAGACACGGGGAGAGGTCTCCCACCCACTGTTCACTCCCCGATGGCTCAACAGGCAGGGCTGAGCCGGGCTGAAGCCCGCGGAACCCCACCTGGGTCTCCCATGGGTGCAGGGGCCCAGTGCGCAGCAGCAGGGAGCCGGGTCGGGAGCAGAGCAGCCCGGACTCGAACCCCCATTCATGCGGAATGCCGGCATTGCAAGCCGCCGCTCAGCCGTCTGGCCACAGTGTCGCCCCCCACCCCGCCCAGTTTAAATTTTTAACAACTTTATTAGAAGAGAGACTCTGCCGTCTGCTGGGTCACTCCTCAAACGCCTGCAACAGCTGGGCCGGCTCCGCCCAGGTCGCCCCGCGGGGCAGGGACCCAGCCCCGAGCCGTGGTCGGCTGCCCCCCAGCGCTCCGATCTGGGGTGCGGGGTCCCAGACAGCATTCCAGCCGCTGCGCTCCCTTTCATATGTTGATTAACTCTATCAATTCTATTAACTCTATTATTATTATATTCTATTAACTCTATCAATAAAGAAAATCTGAAAACGAACGCACCGAAATGATAATGAGCACATTATCACTTCTTTGCATTTTCTCCTAAAATTAGCATTTAATTAACGGGAAGCTTCAGGATACGCACTTACTGCTGCACTTCCTAACTGCACATGAAACATGCGCGGGACAGGCGACCCGGCCGGGGCTCCGCCGCACAGCACGCTCGGCTCTCCCCACCCCTGCTCGGCCAGCGGCCACACCCTCAGGCCGTCCGCCGCCCTCTCCTCCCTCCTATTGACCGGCGGGAGGCCCAGGGCCCCATAACGCACAGCTGGACCTGCTCCCCTACCCCTCCTCCTCCCGAGGGCCTCGTCCAGGTCAGGGGACACAGCTCGGTGCCCCGCCCCACTGCCGAGGCCACACCTGCCGCCGGGCTGGCGGCCTGACCACAGCCCTGCCTGCTCCGCCTGGACTTCGGCACCCGAGGCCCCACGAGGACCCCGGCCCCCCAGGACCTTCCCCACGACGCGGCAACGTCCCGGACACGAGGGGCGGCCCACATGCCATGAGGACAAGCTCCGGGGAGGTGGCCTAGGGCGGCGACCACGAGGCCACGCCGGCCTGCGTCACAACCACCCGGCAGGGATCACCCAAGGGGTCTCAGACGCCCACCAGCCGCTCAGGACCACGCAGGCTCCGCCCTCCCCGCGCCCAGCCACCTAAGGCCCGCCCCTTCCGCCCAAGGAGGGTGCAGTGAGGCTGTAGATTCGCGTCTAAGCCAATCAGCACGCTGCACCCCAGGACGCTGTGATTGGCTCAGCCGGGGCACGTGACCTGACTGGATCCAATCAGAGCCCTTCCCAGCAGGCCCTGCGCCGAAGGCAGCGCTTTGGCGCCAGATTTCAACCTAGACCCCTGCAGACGGCGGCGCCCCGGAGGCCTGCGCGATCCTTGCAGACCCCACCAAGGGGAACATAGAAGCCGGGACCATGCGTTACTTGAGACTGAGAGGGCCTGGGTTTCCTGTCACAACCGGGAGACTCCTGCACGCAGCCGGCAGGGCTACCGGGACACACCCGCTGCTCCCCCCAAAAGCCGAGGCCCCCCGGGCACCACCAACGCGCACGCACAGCACTGGGTGGGCTTTTATTTCAAAGTCAAAGGCACAGCCCGGACGTGCTGAGGCAGTGACGGACCCCACCCCACCCCCCAGCCGGGAGCAGCTGTGCCGTAGGGGAGGGTAGGGGTTAGAGGGGGCCTCCTCCCTTAGCCCCGTGGGGGAGAAGCAGGTGACCCAGAGAGGCGCAGTGCCCCAGGGGGCCCCCAGGGCCTCTTCCTCAGTCCCCCCCAACACAGGTCTTTGGTGGACAGAATTGCACAGTCCATAAAGTGACAGCTCAAGGGCGCCCCTCCCAGGAGCAGGGCCTGGGGGTGGGAGGGGTCCTGGTTCCCCCTCCGCGGCGAACTCAGTGCTTAGAAGTGGGGGAGGGGTCTCCCCCCCCCGCAGCCCCCTCCCCTGCGGCTCTGAGTCCATCGGGTTAAGACATAAAAAATTCTCTGCTTATAAAAATACTTCTGCTCTGTCGGGCGAGCGGGGAGGTCCCTGGGCATCTGGGCTCCCGGGTCACAGTGGCGGAGCTAGGAGGGCGACAGGGGGCCGTTGGCTCTGCGCGGTGCCCCCTTGGCGGCGGCCGGCGCGGGGGAGCCGCGGCGGGAGGCGGCCGCGCTGCGCAGCTTCTGCTTCCGCCTCTTGGCCAGCGGCGCGTTCTCCACGCTCTTCAGGAAGAAGCCCTCGCGCTTGCCGCGGTTGAACGCCTGGCAGGGAGCGGGCGTCACCGGGCCGGCCGGGCCGGGCCTCCCCGCGAGGTCCCCGAGTCCAGCCTCGCTTCCCTCCCGCGCTCCCGGCCTTTACCATGAAGGTGGCGTTGAGCCCGGAGCGCACGGCGGGGCCCGAGGACTCCAGCACGTCGGGGGTCCGCAGCGGGGGCGAGGAGCGCGCGCTGCCGTCCTGCAGCCACGAGCTGCCCCGCAGCCCCTCCAGCTTGAGCCGCTTGGCCGGGTCCACGGTCAGCAGCCCTGGCGGCGGGCAGGGGCCTTGTGGGGAGACTGCGTCCCTCCCCCTGCGCGGCCCCCAACCGGGACGCCTGACCCTGTGATCCTCCGGCCCCCGCATAACCACCGCGCAGCCTCCCCCTGCCCACCCGTGACCACGCACCTCGGACCAGCTCCTTGGCCTCCTCGGACACGCCCTGCCAGGCCTCGCCGTCCAGGGAGAAGCGCCCCTCGCGGATCTTGCACATGATCTCAGATGCCTGGCTCTGCCCGCCCTGGTCGGAGGCCCCCTGGAAGGGGACCTGCCCCGACAGCATCATATACTGGGGGGGGGGGGGGGAGGACGCAGTGAGGCCAGCCCGGGGCCAGTCCTGGACCGCTCCCTCCAACCCGCAACGCATGGGTGCGCGCCGATCCCGGGTCCAGCCGAAACCCTGCCTCCCCCCACCCCACCCCGGCCCCCAGGATCGGGAGACCCTGGCCGCCCGCACCAGAATGACGCCCAGGCTCCAGAGGTCGCAGGACTCGTCGTAGCCCTGCTGCGCCAGCAGCTCGGGGGCCGCGTACTGCAGCGTGAAGCAGGGCGTCTGCATGGGTCCCGCCGGACTCTGCGGCCGCAGCCGCGCGAAGCCGAAGTCGATGATCTTCACCGGGGCCCCGGGCGTCGCGTCCGCGTACAGGATGTTCTGCGGGGGCGGGGGGGGGCGGCGTCAGAGGCGCGCCCCGCACCCGGCCCTGCCCACCGCCGGCGCCCCGCGCCCGGCCCTGCCCTGCCCATTGCCCGCGCCCCGCGCCCGGCCCTGCCCTGCCCACCGCCGGCGCCCCGCGCCCTGCACCCGGCCCTGCCCACCGCCCGCGCCCCGCGCCCCGCACCCGGCCCTGCCCACCGCCCGCGCCCCGCGCCCGGCCCTGCCCACCGCCCGCGCCCCGCGCCCCGCGCCCCGCGCCCGGCCCTGCCCACTGCCCGCGCCCCGCGCCCCGCGCCCCGCGCCCCGCACCCGGCCCTGCCCACCGCCCGCGCCCCGCGCCCGGCCCTGCCCACCGCCCCCGCCCCGCTCCCCGCACCCGGCCCTGCCCTGAGCCCGGCCCTGCCCACCGCCCGCGCCCCGCGCCCCGCGCCCCGCACCCGGCCCTGCCCACCGCCCGCGCCCCATACCTGGCCCCGCCCACCGCCCGCGCCCCATACCCGGCCCTGCCCACCGCCCGCGCCCCGCACCCGGCCCTGCCCACCGCCTGCGCCCCGCGCCCCGCGCCCGGCCCTGCCCACCGCCCGCGCCCCGCGCCCGGCCCTGCCCACCGCCCGCGCCCCGCGCCCCGCGCCCACCTCCGGCTTGAGGTCCCGGTGCACCACGCCCGCCTCCTCGTGCATGAAGCTCACGGCCGACACGAGGCTGCGCAGGATCTGGCTCGCCTCCGACTCGCTGAAGTGCCGCTTCTGCCGGATGCGCTCCAGCAGCTCCCCGCCCCGCAGCAGCTCCAGGACCAGGTAGGTGTGCAGCTGCGGGCGGCGCGGCCCGGTCACCGCCCGCCCTGCTGAAGTCCCCCTCCCGGAGGTCCTCGGGCCTCCCTGTCTCCCGCCCCACCCCGCAGCCCGGTGGGCGTTACCTGGTCGTGGTGCACCTCGTGCAGATGCACCACGTTGGGGTGCGACTGGCACAGCCGCAGGGCGGCCACCTCGCGCTGCGTGTTCGCCTCCAGCCTGCGGGCGCAGCAGGCGGGGTTAGGGATCCGGCCCGCTCCGCGCCCGCCCGCCGGTCCCGGCCCGCGCGCACCTGCGACTCAAGATCTTCACGGCGAACTCCTGGCCGCTCTGGCGCTGGCGGCAGCGGCGACACACGGAGAAGCTGCCCTGGCCCAGCGCCGGTTCCCGCAGGTCCAGCTCGTACTGCTGGAAGAAAGGCGAGTCCTGCGGGCGCGCGAGGGACGTGGTCAGAGGTGCTGCCCCCGCGGGCGGGCGCCCCGGCGCGGTCCCGGCCCCGTCACCTGCATCATGGCGCTCCTGGCCACGGCCGCGCGGCCTGGCCGGTCTCCGGCGCCAGGCGCGTCCAGCACGTCGGTCATCACCGCGTTGTTGCGGTCAAACAGGATGGACGGTGCCACGAAAGAGTAGCCCTGCGGGTGGGGAGGGGGCAGGTGGGCGGAGGCCCAGGGAGGTCCCACCCGCTGGGGGTGGGGACCTCAGAGGGAAGACGCCCAGAGCGGGAGGGAGAGGTCCTACTGGCATCCTGGTGCCCACCAGCAGTGGACACGTTTGACCACCTTGTTCGGTCATCACTTGGGACCACATCTGCCCCCCTCCCCCACGTCTCCAGCCCAACCCTTGTGGTCACGGCCACCGCTCCCGCAGGCCCTGGCTTCGGTGGTCACTCAGGAGATGACCGGCCAGTGCACAGAAAGATTTTATTCTTCCCTCTTTATTTTTTAATCTACTTCGACTGCATTTGAAAAACGCCCAAGTCTCGAGCCCTGGAGTCCATCCAGGTCGCCCACAGGGCTGGAGAGACCGAGTACCTGGGCAGCACCTGCTGCCTCCCACGGTGTGCACTAGCCGGGAGCTGGAACCAGAAGTGGAGGGGAGGGGCCGGTGAGTTAAGCCACCGCCCGCGATGCCAGCATCCCATGCGAGCGCTGGTTCAAGTCCCAGCTGCTCCACTTTCCACCCAGCTCCCTGCTAATGCACCTGGGAAAGCAGTGGAGGATGGGCCAAGTGCTTGGGCCCCTGGCACCCATGTGGGAGACCTGGATGGAGTTCTAGACTCCTGGCTATGGCCTGGCCAAGTCCCAGCTGCTGCGGGCATTTGGGGAGTGAACCAGTAGCTGGAAGCCAGCTCTCTCCCTCCCTCTCTCCCTCAATCTCTTTCTCTGTCTCTTCCTCTCTAACTCTGCCTTTCAAAAAAAAAAAAAAAGAAAAATTAGAAGTGGAGCAGAACTCAAGCCCAGGCACTCCCCTGTGGCCCATGGGTGTCCAGGCAGTGTCTTAACCCCTGGCCGGAGGCCCTGCCCAGCTTCCCCCCGAAACCAGCCTTCGACCTCCCCTGTAAGGCGGGGCTACCAGAGAAATGCAAAGAAAAAGGACCACGTTCCAGCGGCTTACAGATTAGCTTCCTCTTCTCTGTCCCAAACATTTACCTATTTACTTATGTGAAAGCCAGAGCCACAGACAGAGAGGCAGACACACGCAGACACACACACACACACACACACACACACACAGGGTCCCTTTGCCGGTTCACTCCCCCACGTGGCCCCAGCAGCCAGGTCTGGGCCAGGCTGAAGCCAAGAGCCAGGAGCTGCATCCGGGTCTCGCACGAGGGTGGGCAGGGCGGCGTCGTGAGCAGCAGCTCAACCCGCCCCACGCCAGCGCCAGCCCAGGTTCCGGGATTTCTCGGGGCACCTGGAAGCGTGTGTCCCTCCCCCTGAGTGAGCGCCTGGCCCTCGCGCTCACTGTCAAGCCCCGAGAGTTAGGAAAGCAGCCGCGCCAGCGAGAACTTCCTCCTTAGAACCGAGCCGGGGAAGCAGGCGCCGCACGCACAGCTCTCGGGGCTGCGTCTGGGGACCGGGCTGCCCGTCCGTGGTGGGGCCCCTCTGATTTGCTATTTATGGACCGTGAGCCACGGGCCAGGCCCGTGCGCGGTCTACAGACAGCTTCTCGGGAGCTTCCAAGACCCGACCGAGGGCCCCCAGGCCCCCACGAGTGTGACGTGCAGTGCCCCCGGGGCACGCAACGCCGCGGCATGCACGCGGGATCACTTCCCCGGTGTCTACGTAAGCAAGTAAAAAATGCGAAACAAGGGTCGGCCTTGCGGCAAAGCGGGTGAAGCCGCCACTTGTGACACTGGGATCCAGGTCAGAGCGATGGTTCAAGTCCCGGCCACTCTGTGTCTCATCCGGCTCCCCGGAGTGTGCCTGGGAGAACAGTGGAAGGTGGCGCAAGTCCCTGGGTCCCTGCCACCCATGTGGGACACCCAGACGGAGTTCAGGCTCCTGGCTAAGGCCGGGCCCAGCCTCAGCTGCTGCAGGAATGTGGGGCTAAACCGGAGGATGGAAGATCTCTCCTGTTTCTCTATCACTCTGCCTTTCAAATAATTTTTTTTAAAAAAGTTTAATTTTTAAAGCAGGGGCCAGTATTGTAGCATAGCAGGTTAAGCCACTGCCTGCGACCCTGGCATCCCATATGAGCACCGGTTCAAGTCCCGGCTGCTCCACTTCTGATCCAGCTCCCTGCTGATGCACCTGGGAGAACAGCAGAGAACAGCCCACATGCTCGGGCCTCCACTGTCCACGTGGGAGACTCAGAGGGAGTCCCTGGTTTCTGGCTTCAACCTGGCCCAGCCCAGGCCATTGAAGCCTTTGGGAGGTGAACCAGCAGAGGGAAGATTCCCCCCCACACACACACACTCCTGCCTTTTAAATAAGTGTGTGTTTATTTTATTTATTTGAAAGGCAGAGTGACAGAGAGGGAAAGGGGGTGGGGAGAGAGGGAGAAAGAGAGAGAGAGAGAGAGAGAGAGAGATCGCTCTTCCATCTGCTAGTTCATTCCCCAAATGACCACAACGGCCAGTGCTGGGCCAGGCTGCAGCCAGGAGCCTGGAGCTCCATCTGGTCTCCCACGTGGGTGCAGGGGCCCGAGCACTTGGGCTGTCTCCCACGGCCTTTCCAGGTGGAGCAGCCGGGGCTCCAACCAGGAAGCCTGAATCGCAGGTGGCGGCTTAACCCACTGAGCCACGCCGCGGCCCTTAAGTGAGTAAGTCTTTAATAAAACGAGATAAAGATAAGCCGTGAGCCATCAGACACAAGCCATGGAGGTCTCCGGGACCAACGACCCGGGAGAGGTCAGGACGGGGCCCACGGGGGGCCCACAGCAGCCAGGGCCGAGGCCGGCAGCGGCGCCCGCCTCTCCTGTGCCTGGCATCCCCGAGTTCTCACTCACCTGGAAGATTCGAGGGTCCCCCGGCGGGGGGCTCCCGGGGGGCGAGTACACGGGCTCCAGCCGAGTGAACTCCTCTGCGAAGTTGCCCACGTCCAGCTCCGAGCGGATCTGGGGCTGGAACGGGGCCGGGATCTTCCTGGCAGCGAGAGCAGCCCAGTCCAGGCCCTGGGGGAGACCAGAGCTAGCGGTCAAGGGCAGGAGAGGGCCCCTGACCGTGGCGAGGGCCTCTCTCCTGCCGCCCTGTTCTGGAGACCCGCCCTCCGCCACGCTTGGCTCTGGACGTCTGTGCAGACCTCTCGCTCCTACCGGAATTAAATCTACAGAATCGCTGGGGCCCTCTCGGGGTCTGACGGTCAAGCCCTTGGGCAGAGACACCACACAAAAGACGACGTCTCGGCACCTGGACACAGCCTGGCCTGAAGTCTGACTTCTCCCCGGACTCTCCACTTACGGGAGCTAAACCCTGCCCTGTTGGGCTTTGGTAACGTGGGAGAGCTCGTTAGTACCCTGCTGCCCAGGACCCGGTTCCCTGCCCTCCCTAATGTCACGGCCCCCATTTCACCCCAAGAACCAATACGCACGGCTAGAACTTCCTGGCAGCTACAAGTGACTGATGGCTTGTGGGTAAAACCGTCAGGTAGGACCTCAGGAAGGAGCTCCGGAAGGAGGCAGACGGTCGGCCAGCGCCCTGCCTGCCAATCTCCTTCTTCCTCCTGCCCCCTGCCTGCTGAGCAGCTTAGATGGCAAGAGCTCCCGCAGCCACTCTGGGCCTTGAGGCACCTCTGGGATGCAGGTCGGGATGGAAGGGATATTTAAGATATATGCAATATATCCACACTGGCTGGGTTCCTGGAGACGCCAGGCAGTAAAGACCTCTATGCTGTTGCCAAACTGTCTCAGAGTATTTATGTATTTAATTTGAAAAGCAGGCAGACTCCTCCCACCCCCTGGATGCCTGCGACAGCCGGAGCTGGGCCACACGGAAGCCAGGAGCTGGGAACCCGACCCGAGTCTCCCACATGAGTGGCAGGGACCCAGCTACTCGGAACATCCCACGGCTGCGTCCCGGGGTTCACATCGGCAGGAAGCTGGAATGGGGGGGGGGCAGAACTTGAACCCAGGTTTTCACCATTTCCAGCTAGATTTCTCTGTCCCCAGCAGCCAAGAGGCTGAGCTGGGCTCGAAGACCAGGACTCGGCCTCCAGAGAGAAGGGGGCGGGAACGCTCCTCCCGGCACCCGCACAGCACCCGGCGTGGGGCGGGTGGGCTTGGGCCGTCCGCTGACGGAGCTGCCCGCTCCCCACCCCCACCAAAGGGACCCCTGCGCCCCTGAGACCTAGACCCCCCTCTGAGAGCACGTGGGAAGCCCCCTCCCAGGCCGGGCAGGCGGGGAGGACTCCCACGGGTGACACGTGGCGCCCGCAGCCAGGCCCCCGCTCCCGTGTCACAGAGGCCCGGCCTTGGATGCGACCGCCGCCACCTGGCGGGGGTGGGGGACCTCGGAAAACGCCTTCCCCTCTCTGAACCTCAGCTTCCCGGTTTCCAAGGAGACGGCGCAGAAGCCTTGGCGCAGGCACGCTGGCTTCCTCTGGGACAAGTTTCCAAAGCAAAGGGGACTGGGCCAGGCTCAGCGCACCCCTCCAGCGCCCACCCCTCACCTGGAAGAAGGCGTGGCTCTTGACGTCCTGGGCCCCCTGGGGCCCCGCGCCCAGCCGCTTCCGGGGGTCCTTGCAGAGCAGCCTCTGCAGCAGGTCCTGTGCCACGGGCCCGATCCGGGGGGGGAAGGGAGGGGAGCACTTCAGGATCCGTCTGGGAGGATGGGGGGGCTGTCAGGGGCAGCGGGGGGCCCCCCTCCACGGCCCCGCCCAGGCAGGCCCTGCTGCCCCTCGGCCGCCCTCCGCGTCCGGCCCTCCTCACCGGGACACCTCGGCCTGCGTGTTCCTCTCGCCCTCCAGGGTGAAGGGCGAGGCCCCCGTGAGCAGCTCGAAGAGCAGGATGCCCAAGCTCCACCAGTCCACAGCCTGCGGGCCGGAGCGGTCAGGGCCCCGCGCGCGCGCCCCCGGCCCCGCGCCCCTCCGGCCCCGCGCCGCCCGCGCAGGCCCACCTTGCCGTGGCCCGCCTTGCCGCGGATGATCTCGGGGGCCATGTACTCGATGGTGCCGCAGAAGGAGAAGGTCCGCTCTTTCTGCGAGGGCGAGAGGACCCGCGTGGGCGCCGGGCTCGCTCCTCGCGCCCCCCCGCCCCCCCCGGGAGCGGCGGGCGGGCGGGCGGGGCGGGGGCGCGCACCTCCTCCGTGAGGAACTCCTTGCTCAGCCCGAAGTCCGTGAGCACCACGTGGCCGTCGGCGTCCAGCAGCACGTTCTCCAGCTTCAGGTCCCGGTAGATGATACCCAGCTGGCGGGGCCAAGACGGGCGCTGAGGCTTCCCCCAGCCCCCGAGCTCGGGACAAGCGGGGCCCGCCTCCTGCGCCCCCGGCGCCTCCTGCCTGCCGAGGGGGCCCCAGCGCGGGGCTGGGCCGCTGGCTGCCAAAGGCCAGTTAAGGCGCGCAGGCCCGGGTTCCAGGGAGAGGGGCCCGTGTGTGTGGAGAGGCGAGGGAGCCACAGCACAGGCCTGCGTTTGAGGAAGTTCCGGGGAGGTGGCCCCGGGTTCCCTGTGAGAGGAAAGCCCCTTCGAGGAGGCGCGCGTGGGGGGACGACACCCCAGCAGGCAGTACCAGGGGGCCTGGGGCGGGAGGGGGAAGCAGCTGCCCACCCGGCCCAGGCAGCCCGGAGAGACCGAGGCTGCTACTCGGGAGCCGCTTCGCCAGGCCCAGGGGCCAATGCCCGCCCACCTTGTGCAGGTGCTCCAGGGCCAGCACGATCTCGCCGCCGTACACGCGCACCTCGGCCTCCTTGAAGCACTGGCGCTGGTAGAGGTGGGTGAACATCTCGCCGCCGCTCACGTAGTCTGGGGCCACAGCGGTGGAGGTGAGGACGCGGCCGCCCCTGCCCCCCGCCCCGCCCCGCCCCGCCCCCGCGCCGGTCCTCACCCAGGATGAGGTGCAGCTTGGCGTCGGTCTGGAAGGCATAGTGCAGCGTGACCAGGAAGGGCGCCTGGCGCACCAGCTCCAGCACCGAGCGCTCCGTGCGTGTGTGCTCCTGCGTCTTGGCGCGCTGCACCAGCGCCGCCTTTCGCAGCACCTTCATGGCGTACAGCTTCCCCGCGTCGTGCCCGCCTGCCTTCCGGACCAGGAACACCTTCCCGTAGGCTGCGAGAGACGAGGGCGAGGAAGAGGGGCTGTGAGTGGGAAGGCGGACGGGCGCAACCCAGGGTGGCGTGCAAACCTGGGGTGGTGTTGGGGAGGTGTTGGGGGGGGAGCCAGGGGGAGAGGCAGGCGTGCAAAGAGCTGGAGGAGCAGGTGTGCACAGCCCAGGGGCGGCTCAGCAGGGGCTGTGAAGGGATGTGCAGCCCGGGGAGGGAGGAGTGGGGGCGGGGCGTGTGCCAACCTGCGAGAAAGCATTCGGGAAGGATGCGGGGAGGAGGGCCGGCCGCACGCCTGGCCAAGGGAGGGATGTGCAAAGCAGGCCTGGGGGAGTCTGCAAACGCGCAAGGGGGCTGTCACGTGGGGAGAAGGGGGGGCGCTGTGCAAGCCACTTGGGTGGGGTGCAAGCCCCCAGGACCTCCGAGCAGCCGCGGGAGGGGGCATGCATGCCCAGGACCCCACAGGAAGCGACGATGTCAACATGGAGCGCCCGGGAAGTGGGCACCCGACCCCGGGATGGCCGGGTGGAGTCGGGAAAGGGTGGGGGCCTTCCCAGAAGCCTGGCCCCAGCGCAGGCGGGTGTGCGGGCAGCAGGCCCCGGGACGCCGTGCCGGGACACCTGCCCGGTGCCCAGGGGCGCTCACCTCCCGTGCCCAGCACCTTCAGCAGCTCGAAGTTCTCCACGCTCACCTTCTCCTCGTGCCCGGTCAGGTTGGCTGTGGGCACAGGGGCCGATGAGCCCAGCCCGCCTGAGACTCCTCCCAGCCCTCCCGCGCAGCCGGCGGCCAGCCCTGCACCCACCTTCCGTGATCCGCAGCTCCACGGCGCAGCCCTCGTCCTCGTCCTCGTCCCCCATGTCGGGCGGGGGACGAGTCGCTGGGGCCCCCCCGTGCGGCTCGGGGCTCCGGGCGGCGCCGGTTACATGGCGGCTCCGGCCGGGGCGGGCGCTTCCTGGTGCCGCCTCCGGGGCTGAGGCGGGCGCTGGCGCCGCCTCCCGGCTCCCCGCCTTGCCGCGGCCTGAGTCAGGCGGCAGGAACGTGACAGCGGCAGGCGGCGGCCAGAAAGGGTTGGCCCTGTCTCCAGAGCGGGGTGGCGGCGGGGGGCTGCGGGGATGGGCGTCAGAGCTCTGCACTCTGGGACCTCAATCAACCCTCCCAGGGACCTGGACACAGCCGGGAGTCCTGGCGGGGGCCCGTGGGTGACCTGGAGGCCCTGCTGGGTGAGCACAAGCCAGGTATGCGCCCCAGGACACCTGCTGCTGCCAGTGGTGGCAAGGACCTTGGGAGCCCGTGCCCCCGCGCCGGCCTTGCGGACAGCCGAGCATCCTCCTGGGACTTTCTGGAGCCCCTGCCAATCACACCACCCCGTCCCCTTCTTGTCCACAGCAAACAGGAGAGCGGAGTGGTGTGTCCGCTCGACAAATGAGCAGCCCAAGGCCGGCTGACAGCGGCCAGCGCCCGCCGCCGGCTCCTCAGCCCCACGCCTCACACTCAGCGGCCCCAGCTCTCCGTGCTGGCCAGGCTAGGAGGGTGCGGGATTCAGGCCGCACTGGCCAGGCTAGGAGGGTGCGGGATTCAGGCCGCGCTGGCCAGGCTAGGAGGGTGCGGGATTCAGGCCGCGCTGGCCAGGCTAGGAGGGTGCTGGGATTCAGGCTGCGCTGGCCAGGCTAGGAGGGTGCTGGGATTCAGGCCTGCTTTGTGATCCTGGACCAGCTACATCTCCCCTGGGTTCCCGATCCAGCCTCTCTCCCCGCAGTGGCCTGGGCCCTGCAGGGAAGCTGGGGGCTCGGCCGCTCTGAGGCCAGGACCTGCTACGGCAAGGGGCCAGTACCAAGCCAGGACCCTGCGGCGGGGAGGGGCAGCCCCCGCCCCCATTCACAGCCCACCAGAGGCCATGCACACCTCCTTGTCTTGCAGTACCCACCCCAGATCCCCAAAAAGGGGCATCAGCGTGGTTCAGGGGAGTCCCCCTCCCCTGAGGCCCAGGGCCCTTGGCTGGCCTGTCCTCCCGGGGGGTGGGGGGTGAGAGGGGGCGGCAGCCGCCAGAGGCCCGGGGGCAGTTTTAGCTCCTCTGACAGCTGGGGGCAGGGGTGCACCGCCCCACACTGCCCTGCAAAGCCTCTGCGGAGAGGAAGAGGAAGCGGGGCTGCTGCAGGTCGCCCCGGGAAGGCTGGGCTGGCTGCCGCCCCGGGGCTCCGCACACCTCCAAGCTCAGGCCACCTCCTGTCGGCTCGGGCAGCCCCACCCTGCCCTGGGCGGCCCCAGGTACCCTGACTCACTTCCTGCTGCCCCACCTAATTGCCCCCCTTCCCAGGGCGGTAACCCCGGGGCCCTGCTCAGAGACTCCACCCACCCACCAGGCTGCGAGCTCCCCGGGGCAGGGCTTGGCCCCACAGGGCTCTGGGAGAGAGGACGAGGAGGCTGGACAAAGGCAGGGAAGGGAGAGAAGCGGGTGTGAGGGTCGTGGTGGCCGCACCCGCTGTCCCCAGCTTGCCACCCCACTCCCCGCTCCTGGAGGCGCCCTCTGCAGCTGTGTCCCGGCCGGGCCGGGCCGCTGTGTCCCACTGTGTCCCCGGGACCTCGAGGCTCCAAGATGCAGCCAACAGACACGAGGCAGGACTCAGCTTTATTCTTATGCCCCACTGTGTCCCAGGGAAGGCTCAGAGGTCGGCCCAGGACACGGTCCCCAGGGAGTGGTGGGCCTTGGTGCCCCGCCCGGCCCGGGCAGGGGGCTCTCCTGCCCACTCCTTCCAGTCCCCTCGTGCTGAGGGATCCTCCGGAGACCGCCACCTCAGTGCAGGCCGCGAGCCGTCCCCCCTGTCCACAGGCTCACCCCAGCTCCGTCCCGGGACCCCTACGCGGGCCGTGGCGGGCTGGAGAGCCCAGGCCTCCTTGTCCAAGTGCTCTCCTCGCGCGCCCCGTGTGGACGGGCTCCCCTGGCTCTTGGGCTGCCTGGGGTCCCCCGCGACACTCCAGTGGCCAGTGGGTGGCCCTGCCGAGCTCCGGGGCCCCGCGGCGTCACTGGCTGAGGGAAGGGGTGAGGGGGCGCTTCTCCGGGTCCTGCTCCTCGAGGCCTGCAAGGCGAGACTCCGCTCAGGAGGGCCCCGGGGTCACAGCTGCCACCCTCCGCCCCCACCTCCTCCACTGGGGCCCCAGCCGCCACCCTCCGCCCCCACCTCCTCCACTCCGGGGCCACAGCCGCCACCCTCCGCCCCCACCTCCTCCACTCCGGGGCCACAGCCGCCACCCTCCGCCCCCACCTCCTCCACCGGGGCCACAGCCGCCACCCTCCACCCCCACCTCCTCCACTCCGGGGCCCCCACCGCCTCGCCACTCCCCTGCCGCACCAGGCCCTCCCTCAGCTGTCCCCTCCAGGTCTCTGCTCCCAGCCCCACCCAGCGCTCAGGTCCCCTCCCTGAGCCCAGTCACTGTCACCTCCCGGTATTCCGGGTACCAGCCAGCGAGAGGCAGGGGTCTGAATCCACACGTGCTGTGGGTGCCATGACCTCTGGCCCTCAAGGACTCAGTGTGGAGGAGCTCCCTGGGGACGCCCCACACTGGCCACCTGCTGAGTAGCCAAGCCGCGCCATCACCGTGCACCTGACCCCCCTCCCTGCTGCTCCTGACATGGGGCAGGCGTTCGGCCACTTGGGATGTCCCCGCTCTGCTCCCAATCCCAGCTTCCCTGCACCCTGGGAGGGGGGCAGCAGCCCTGGCTCAAGTAGCTGGGTCCCTGTCCCCAGACTGGGAAGCCCCGATGGAGCTCCAGGCTCCTGGCCTTGGCCTGGCCCGGCCCCCTGGCCATTGTGGGCATCTGGGGAGTGAGTGGGAGACCTTCAGTGTCTGCATGTGTCTACCTGTTTCCAATAAATAACATTTTTAGGGGCCTGCTTTGTGGGATAGCGGGTAAAGCCACCATCTATGAAGCCAGCATCCCATGTGGGTGCTGGTTCAATTCCCAGCTGCTCCACTTCCAGTCCAGCTCCCTGCTAATGCACCTGGGAAGGCAGTGGAAGATGGCCTAAGTGCTTGGGCCCCTGCACTCACACAGGAGACCGGGAAGAAGCTTCCGGCTTCAGCCTGGCCCAGCCCCAGCCCTTACAGCCATTTGGGGAGTGAACCAGGCGATGGAAGACCCTTCTCTCTCTAACTCTGACTTTCAGATGCACGCATGCATACATACAATGTTTAAAAGAAAACCTCACACGTCGACCTGCGTGTTTCCACGGGACAGCACTGCTGCAGACAATCACGGTTACCATCGCCTCCCCCGGCTGGCACTGCCTGGCCCTTGGCAAATGTTCATTGGAGGTCTGCGGGGGTCCCAGGCCGGCCACATACCCCCGCTCCTGCCCAGGACCCACTCACCCTCGTGGCTGCCATCTGCCTTGTGTTCCTGGAGGGTCTCAACGGAGCCTTCCCAACCCACGCCACATCCTGGGGGACACAAGGCAGCCACTGGAGCCACAGGACGGGACGCCCCTTCCCCAGGGGGCCACAGGGAGGCGGGGCCAGCAGGGGCTGCGGCCTTGGTCCCTCACCTTTGCCGTGGGCACTGGGCGCCCCCAGGGGGCCCGGCCGTCGCTGTCGGAATCGCTGCCGGGGGGTGTCCCCGGGGCTGAACGACTCAGAGCTTCGCCCCACGGGAAACCGCGAGCTGAGTTTCCGCCGCTGCCCACCTGCCAGGGTCTCGTCCCGCAGGCAGAGGGAGCTCTGGGCCCGGCGCATGGGTGCTGGTGAGCGCAACACTGTGAGAGGCACACACGGGAGGCGTCAGGGAGCTGGGGGTGTGGCTGGCCGGGCAAAAGGACCGGGAGCAGAGGCACAGAGCGGGGGCTGGGGGGCAGGCGGCCACAGGAGGCTGGGCCCCGGGCTGGTTCTGACTCATTCTAGCAATGTGCCTCCCCCACCCCCATCCCTGCCTCAGTTTCCTTAGCTGCTGCCCAGGATAAAGGACCTCCCCCTAAAGTTCCCCGTGGCTCCAGGTCCCAGGACCACTGTGGAGGGAGCAGAACAGGATGGGCGGCAGCGCAGGCGGGAGGGAAGGGCCCCCACAGGGCCCAGGGCAGAGAGCAGCCAAAAGCAGCAGGGTTGGCTGGGGGCGCTCGGCGAGAAAGCCAGTGGGGGCGCACGTGCAGGCCGGGCAGGAAGACAGGTGCCAAGGCGGTGGTGGGGACATGGGGGAGAGACCTCCTGGTCACCTGGCCCCAGACCCACCTGTCCCATCCGCCTCCCTGCCCTCGGGGAGCTCCGTCTCCGGGGGGCCTCCCAGGCTCTCGGTGCTGCCAGCCCCATCGGCCCCCAGGCGCAGCCCCCCTTGGGGGCCCCCCTCCCGCCGGGGCCGCATCAGCCTCTTCACCTTGTCTGCCAGCCAGCTGCCCTTCCTGGGGCAAGAGGGCACAAGACGGGGACAGGGGAGGGCGGGGAGGAAGGAGAGACAGGAGGCTCGTGTTGGGGGACGGCAGCGTCCAGGCCAACCCTCATGAGGCCTGCACCGGAGCTGGGCCGGGGGTCAGAGGGCAGAGCAGGGCCCCGCCCCAGGGAGGAGGGGCCTCACTTGGCGCGGGGCAGGGGCCCGGGCTCCAGCACGCGGTACTGGTCCATGATCTTCTCCACCAGCTTCTGCTTCTCCCGGCGCAGGGCATTCAGCTGGTCCCTGTGGGAGGGGGCAGGGCGAGGTGGACATGCGACCTGGCGAGGCGCCGGGCAGGAGCGAGGCCCGGGTCACAGCAGGTACGCACAGGTGCACCTGCCGCGGGTGAAGCCGCGCACAGGTGGTCGGCTCCACTGCTTCAGCCAGGACCTCCCCGGGGGGCTCCCTGTGACCAGCCCCCGCCAGGACCACCCCAGGGGCCCCCGTGACCAGCCCCCACCAGGACCACCCCGGGCCCCCCCCCGTGACCAGCCCCCTCAGGACCGCCCCAGGGCCCCCGTGACCAGCCCCCGCCAGGACCTCCCCAGGTCCCCCG